AATAATAATAATAATAAGCCTTTTATTCGGATAACAAAAACAAAAACAAAAAAATACTTTCTTACATTACGTGAACTAGAACATTTTTATTTAATTAAAATTTTTCGCGTATTTGGTGCTTCTTCACTTTTTGTAAATCCGTTTGCCAGTTGGCAAAGGCCTCCTCCAACCTACTCCATTCTGATCTCTCTCTGGCTATTCTACTCCATGTTTTTCCAGCGACCTGCCTAATATCATCGTCCCATCTTTTTTGCTGTCTTCCTCTTTTCCTATTACCTTCTCTTGGGTACCATTGCGTTAATATTTTGTTCCATTTTTCCTTTCCTCTGATCATGTGTCCCGACCACTTCCATTTTAGCCTTTTTATTTTTAAGGTTACATCCTGTATCTTGGTCTTTTTACGAATGTTGTTGTTTCTTATTCTATCACTCCTCTTTGCTCCCAGCATGCTCCTCTCCATCGCTCGTTGACAGACTGTAACTCTATCGGTACTGTTTTTTGTTAAAGCCCATGTTTGGCTACCATATATTAAAATTGGTAGAATGCAGATGTTATACAGTTTACTCTTTGTTGCGTTATGGAGGTTTTTGTCTTTCATTACTTCCTTTAGGCTCCAATATCTTTTCCAACTGTTTGCTATCCTTCTTTCGATTTCTTTATTTATGTTATCCTTGGGTGATATCACCTGTCCGAGGTATACATATTCTTCAACATAGTTAATCTGTGTGTCGCCCACTTTAATGCTGCTTTTATTTCCATTAGTCATTACTTTTGTTTCGGGCGGGATTAGGGTGGGCCAAATAAACCTACAGAGGTCGAGGCTGGCCACGGCGGAGCTGCCGGCACTGGCGGATGAGGAGGGACTAGCCCTAATCTTGGTCCAGGAGCCGTACGTGGGCCAACGGCTGGAGGGACTCATCTCGGCCTCATGTGAGAACGCGGGGGCGGGAATATACGTTAGTAGCCATGCTACGCCACCTATGTACCCGCAACTGCATGGTGTGCCACGTGGCCGAATTAGACATGTACGCTGTTAGTGCTTACTTCCAGTACTCCGAGGATATCGCACCGCACCTGGAGCACATTACCGGAGTGCTGGAACATCTGAGGGGGAGACGTGTGCTGCTGGGGGTGGACTGTAATGGCCACTCCCCCCTATGGCACAGCCTTCCAAGACACTACGTGGGTAGGGGAAGCGTCGTCCGTGATAGGCGGGAACAGATTGAGGATTTTCTGCTGGCGCGCCGACTGACGGTTCACAATGCCCCAGACCAGCCCTTCACCTTCTCGACGGAAAACAGTGGGTCCAACATTGACATCACATTGACCACCGCCGGTCTGAAGGTGGAGGGATGGAGAGTCTTGCCGGACGCGTCCAGCAGCGATCACCGCCTAATCACATTTAAAATAGTGGGGAGCCTAGGGAGGGACAGACGGGCTACAAGTGACGAGACTGCCTCGGGGGCGACCCCCGTCCGGTTCCGGGAACGCGGGGCGCACTGGGCCCAATTTCGGTCGAGGGTCCATGAACGCGTGGGTAGCCTGAGGTGGAATCGCCCCGCCTCAGACGTTGCTAAGGAACTCACCCACTCAGTTGGGTGCTCAGCGTACGAGACGCTGGGAGTGGTGAGGACGGGAAGGAAGACGAGAGGATACGAATGGTGGTCCCCCGCCCTGGATGCACTCAGAAGGAGCTGCAACAGGGCGAGGAAGGTATGGCAGGCGGAACGTAAGCGAAGTGGAGCACTGAAGGGATGGCCAAAAGGGAGTATCACGATAGGCGCAGTAGATACAGGAAGGCGATGGGGAAGGCGCAGCACGACTACTTTCGCGAGGTTGCGGAAGCCGGCAACGGCGACCCGTGGGGCCTGACCTACCGTGCGGTATCTGGTAGGCCAGGCCCCACAGCAAAACCAGCAAGACTACAGGGCGGGCTATCCGCGGTGTACCCCTGGCGATTCGGCCCAAATGACATTGTTATGTCGGCGGGGCCATGGGAGGTGGAGGGATTGTCCGTCAGGTATGCCTCGATTACACGACGGAGGTAGGCAGGCACCCGATGATATCGGAGTGCCTCCAAGATGCAGCTCCAGAGCAGGGAGTTGAAGGCGTTGGCGATGTCCAGAGACACCGCCACTACGACCTTACCCCTGGACACTGCAGTCCTCGTCGTCCGGTCCCTAACGCGCATGATGGCGTCCACCGTGGAGCGCCCTCTGCGGAAGCCGAACTGGCCGTCCGACAGGTCCGGCCCAATATCCGTCAGGTGCGCGACGAGGCGGTTCGAAATGATTCTTTCGAAGACTTTCCCCACCTCGTCGAGCAGCACTATGGGCCGGTATGCGGACGAAGAGTCCGCAGGGCGTCCCGTCTTCCGCACGAGGACCAGTTTGCCCGCTTTCCAGAGAAGCGGGAACTGCCCTCTCTCCAAGCATGCGCTGTAGAGACCGATTAATCGAGGCCCGAGAGCCTCCGAGGCCAGGACCCATGCTTTGCCATGCAAGCCGTCGGGTCCTGGGGCGGTGTTCTTGGCGCCCATCCGGCGCACCGCCGCTCTCAGTTCTGCCTCGGTCACCTCTGGGACAATGTCGTCGTTGTCGTCGCTATAGCCCGCGTCGGGCACCGCAGGGGGCGGAGTCATATACGGAGGGGTGAAGCCCGTCCACAGCCGGGGAGCCGGGGGAACAGGGCGCCAATCACCTCCTCAACGAACTCTGGCCGGAGACTCTGAGTGAGCGGGGGAGCCCAAGCGCGAAGCTTGTCGCGCACCATGCGGTACGGGCGTCCTCACGGGTCTCTATTCAGAGTCCCCAGCATCTTTCGGCGGGCCTCTTCCTTGGCCCGCAATATCTCCGCCTTGAGGACTTCGCCGCCCTGTATCTCTCGTATAACCCCGCCTCTCTCGCCTCCGCATTTGGAGGACGGAGAAGGCGCCTGCGGTGCCTAGTGTACTGGCGTCGCGCAGCAGTGCACGCCTTGCGTAGAGCTGCTAGCTCTTGCGACCACCAGTACACCTGGCGCTTTTGTTGCTTCGACCGGATCCGGGGCATCGCCACGTCACAGATCCTGGACATGGCGTCCTGGAGCCACTTGGCCTCATCGTCTATGTCGGCAGGCCTGACCGGTGGTATCACCCAGGCCTGCACGATGGCGGCTTCCAGGAGCAGCTCCCGGTCCAGCTGTTTCAGCGCCCAACGCGGGCCACATGGGGCCTGTCTGACCGGCGGGTCTGCGGACTCGGCGGAGACGTCGAACCGGATATACCGGTGGTCGGAGTACGTCTCCACCTCCTCCATGACACGCCAGTCAACGATACGCGGTGACAGAGCAGGGCTGGCGAACGAAATGTCCACCACCGACTCGCCCTGCATCCGCACGCACGTGGGGACAGAACCCCGGTTCAGGACGACTAGGCCTGTCTCAAGGGCCCAGTCTTCCACCATCCTACCCCGGACGTCGGTGAACCGGGAACCCCAAGCCAAGTTTTTGGCATTGAAGTCCCCGAGGACGAGCACGGGGAGGGAACGGAACCCGACGACGACGGTGACCAACTCCCTCAAGGAGTTGTGGAACTCGGCGAGAGTTCGGTTCGGAGAGAAGTACACGCCCACCACAGCGAGCTCTCCGAACCGTGCTGCGACACAACCCCGGCCTCTTTGAGCAGCCTCAAGACTCGGGGTACCGGCGAAGGCCGACGAGATGATGGTCACCGAGCCGTCCAGGTCCGCCACCCAGTGATCCCTGGGTTGGACAAAGTACGGCTCGGAGACCACGGCGACATTGATCGACCACTGCGCCATGCTCTGGAGCAGGAGATCCTGAGCAGCGGCCCAGTGGTTGATGTTCGCCTGGAGGAGGTGGAATGAAGCCATTATTGACAGTGTCCATTCCGACCTCCTCAATGGCGGCAGCGGCCACTGCGGCGACTGCGGTGGCAGTGGCGGCGGCGGCGGCGGCGGCGGCGGAAACGGCAGGGGCAGCGGAGGGCCTACCTTTGCCCTTGGGTTTGGCAGGAGAGGAGCAGCCCTTGCTCCCGACCCGGTGATTGACCGGCTTGCCAGCCGCCGCACATGCGTTGTAGTGTAGCGGGGCAGGCCTCCAATCCCTTAAGAGTGCGTGCGAAACCGCGGGCAGAAGCTAATCCATAAATAAAGTACATATATTATTCAATTAACTTGAATTCGTATTTTTTCTATTAAATTCGTAGTCTTTTAGAGTGAAGCTAGATAATAGCATGGCTTACTCAAAAATAACATTTAAATATGCTTCATTACATTACACGCTGTCACAGAATGTGTAAAAGAAACAACGATTCATAGCTCCTCCCCCGTAGATGATAGCGTGATAATTTGTAGCCTATATATTTACCTGACCTGTTAGTAATATTCATACAAAATTTGAAGTAAATCCATGCAGTACTTTTTGAGATTATCTCGGACATACATACAGAAAAACAGATAAAAATTCTAAAAACCATATATTTGGCTTCAGTATCGATTGTAGATCACGCTCCTTGGAGCGTTTTTTTAAATGAATACTTCTATTCATTTAAAAATATATTTATTGTACAGTTTTGACTTTTCTACAATTCTTTTATACATATGTATCTTAAATTTTCTTAAGTATTTATATTAGTTTTTACAATTGACGAGCAGAACCATACTGGATAGTAAAAAATTATTATAGCGTGTTAACTATTGTGGTATACATTTCTTATTTATCAAAGTCCGCTCATGAGGAAGAACCCCTCTGTGGTTCGAAACTAGAAGAGCTTTTCTCAGTATATTCACGTGAGTAGCCCGCGATTTTAGTTAATTTAGTATGTCTCACGAAAGTTATTATAAAAACATTTCATCCTTAGTACGTAATTTAAAGCTTTGGTATCTCTTATTTCAGTCGTGCGTGCTAATCGCCAAAGGAGGATGTACACTGAGTAAAGGATGTGATTGGAGACCTGGAAAAACTACGGTAAAGGATCAAACAACTACTGCCGCGCCTGAGACTACTGCACAGGATGTAACAACTACTGCCGCGCCTGAGACTACTGCACAGGATGTAACAACTACTGCCGCGCCTGAGACTACTGCACAGGATGTAACAACTACTGTCGCGCCTGAGACTACTGCACAGGATGTAACAACTACTGCCGCGCCTGAGACTACTGTACAGGATGTAACAATTACTGTCGCGCCTAAGACGACGACTTTAGCTCCTACAACAGCGTCAGATGACATTCTCGATGACGGCACTACGACCAAAGCATTAATTGACACTACCACACAGGCGCTCATCTGTGCTCCAGGCGTGTTTGGCAACGTACCTCACCCAGACAGATGCGACGCGCACTACTTGTGCACCGATGGCAATGCTGTACTAACTACTTGCGACGAGGGACTCGAATATAACCCTGAATCCAGGGTATGTATTTGACTCTTAATGTATCCCTACAGGCTCAGCTCTTGAGTTTACGTAACTTAAAGTTTTTTTGGAACTAAAAAAATGTGTTGTTCTAGACATGCATACCAATCGCCAAAGGAGGATGTACCATGAGTAAAGGCGATAGACCTGAAGGAGAAACTACAGTAAATGTAAAGGATGTAACCACTACTGCTGCACCTAAGACTACTGTAAAGGATGTAACCACTACTGCTGCACCTAAGACTACTGTACAGGATGTACCCATACCTGCTGCACCTAAGACTACTGTACAGGATGTACCCATACCTGCTGCACCTAAGACTACTGTACAGGATGTAACCACTACTGCTGCATCTAAGACTACTGTACAGGATGTAACCACTACTGCTGCACCTAAGACTACTGTACAGGATGTAACCACTACTGCTGCACCTAAGACTACTGTACAGGATGTAACCACTACTGCTGCACCTAAGACTACTGTACAGGATGTAACCACTACTGCCGCGCCTGAGACTACTGTACAGGATGTCACAACTACTGCTGCACCTAAGAGTACTTCACGGCGTCGGCGGCGTCCAAAAGTAATCACGGGATCCATCTATGGGAATACAGATGGTAATATGATAATTAAATTATAAATTTATATAAAACCTGAACTAGGTACAAGCTTGTGTTTCAGGTAGTTATTGTTGATCGAAGGTTTCAGGTGAAAAACATATTTACAGTACAATATCATTGCTTATGTATATATAAAACCAAATCTTATGATTTAGACTTAAATAAAACTAATGTGTTGCTTTTTAAAATAAAGAAATGATGAAAGTTTATTATATTATAAATTCTTTAACACAATATTCTTTTATTAATGACGTTTAAAAATCAAAAGACAAGCTAGGGCACACAAAAAATAATACAAGTCAAGTCGATTAACGAACAGACCTATAAGGTCACGGTTCGTACAGTGGCAGCGCCACCCCTGAGAGGTTACAAAGTGTATCGGCTAATGAGCAACAATACAGCTATGTAGAATATATAGCAGGGCTGTACCGGGTGAACCGACAGTTTTGTCGGGAGCGAGGCTCTAATCGAGTCAGATCCGAAGATGAGACTGCCGGCATAAATCAGTGCAGGCTCTTATATAGGGCGATGCCCCACTTTGCACTCCCTCCACAACAACTCTGTCCGATGGCGCACTTCCGCCACGCGTTTACCAAAAACTAACATACTCTAAATCTAATAACATATAGATTGTTACAATTAACCAAATATTACAAGAATGATTATCGTAAATAAACAATGATGATTTAACAACGATAAACAGACTTTACAATTCAAAATAATAAGATGACAAGCGTTATTTGTTTTGAACAGAACCAACGTTTACTTTTATCGAATATGTTGCCAAAATCAATTCGTAGGTAGTCGATAAATCATGTTTCAAATTTACAAAAAGTAATTAGTAATAAAATCTAAATAATTGGAACAAATTAAATTAATTGCCACAGATTATCTACAATTTCCTTTGGCAACCATCTTCGACATATATATACCTCTATAAATATATAAGGTCAGTGTAAAAATGTCAGTGTGATGAAGCAGCCAACCTCGTCAGGAGAAGCTCACGAACCTTCTGCTTGAAAGTTAAACGACTTTTCACCATCCTGATATCTTGGGGGAGCGCATTCCACAAAAAAATTGCTTGTACGAAAAAGAAAGAATGAAGGAAGTCAGTACGGTGAGTAGGACATTGGAGACGTCGATCATGAGAAGAGCGAAGATTTTTATTGTGTTTTGAGCATATGTATTGGAAGTAAGTACTAATACCTTAATGCGCACTATAGACGATAAAATACAACCATTATTGGAAGAAAATAAACAGCTAAAATCTGAAGTGCAAGCATTGAATAGAGAAATAAACCATTTAAAAGAGACGAACAGGAAGAACAATATAATACTACACGGCGTCAAGGAAACAGATTTATTCAACATAATAATGGATATTTTACAGAACTTGAATGTTAAAATAGAAAAATTCGAAATAAATAAATTCTTCAGATTGGGAAGACAACAAGATGGAAGCAAAATCAGACCCAAACTTGTTTCGTTGACATCATATCAAAGGAAGGCAGAAATAATGAAAAATAAAGCAAAAATGCCACTAAAGACTTTTCTTACCGAAGACTTCTCAAAACAAACGCTTGAACTACGTAAAAACTTACAGCAACAACTAAAAGAAGAAAGGGAAAAGGGAAACGAAGCATTCATCAAAAACAATAAACTTATTGTAAGAGGAAAACCAGAAGCTGAAAAGAGGAAAAGAGAAATTTCTGTGTCACCCAAGAACATACAAAAACAACCTTACTCCACAGAAGGGAAAAATATTATTGCTCCGTCTAAAATGCATAAAACCGATGCATTTGCATACATGAGAGCCAGATCTTTCTCACTGTCAGAGAAGCAAACACAACCTCATAATAAGGCATAGGAGTTATCTGACACCGGAAACATGAAGAAACTTAATGTAAAAAATACAATTCTAGCAAAAAACAAACAGATCCCCAACACGGTTGGTCACCGCGGGGAGATAGACCGCACCCCCCAAGAGCCTACAGTAAATACAAATACATCAGAGAATCTTAACAAATACTACTCCGGGAAAAATAAACATAAACAAAGAACAAGACTGAATATAGCCACACTACACGCAAGATCGTTAAAATCCCAAGAATCCCTACTCGAATTAGAAAATGCATTAGAAACCATACATTGGGATATTTTAGGGTTAAGCGAAGTGAGGAGAGCAGAAGAGAGAACTGAAGAACATGATAAATATATATTTTACTACAAAAACGTATTGGCTGGCCTTTATGGAGTAGGATTTATGGTCAAAAAATATCTTAAAAACGAAATAATAGAATTTCGAGGCATATCGGATAGGATAGCAATTTTGAATATTAAATTACCTGGCCATAAACAACCATCTTCAATCGTTCAAATATATGCTCCGACTGATGTTACCAGACAAGAAGTAAAAAACGATTTCTACAACAAACTTAACGAAATAATGCCAACTTTGTATAAAACTATAATTGTATTGGGAGATTTCAATGGCCAAATAGGAAAGAGAAGAACCAACGAAGACAAAGTACTTGGACCACACACAACTAGAAAAAGGCATTCCTTTTTCTAGTTGTGTGTGGTCCAAGTACTTTATCATTATAATGGACAAAGACTGATAAACTTCGCGTTGGAAAACAACCTAAAGATCATGAACAGCTATTACAAAAGGAATCCTAATAGGAAATGGACATGGGTATCACCGAATGGTAAGATAAGAAACGAAATCGAATATATTACCACAAACAGACCAAGATTGTTTTTAAACATAAATATTATCAACCAATTTAACTACAACTCAGACCACAGACTACTTAGAGGACAACTGTATACACAAAAACCAAAAACACCTAGGAAATATATCTACAATACGAAACCAGTAGCTTTACCAATCCCGGAAAGTATTTTAGAAGCCTTACACGGTAATTTAGAAAAAATAGATAATCTTAAAGAAGTGCAAGTAAAGTATGACGCTCTAGAAAAGGAATTAAAAGAAACTTAGAGTAAAATGAGAACAACAAGAGAGGAAAAAGATAAATTAGGTCCAAAAGCAAGAAAATTGATCACGCAAAGAAAAAATTTGATTAGAGACAGGAAAAACAACAAAAAAGAAATAACAAATCTGAGCAAAGAAATATACTTGCAAATACGAAAACACAGAGAGAAATTGAGGACTGAAACACTAAATTACCATATAGAAAAATCAGGCGGAGTCAAGAAAGCATGGGTCGAATTAAGAGATAATACAACCTGGATCGACAGCATGAAAAATCATAGAAACAAGAAAAGTAAAACAAATAGAATCGAAATATTAAAAGTAGCAACAGAATATTACCGCGAATTATACAACAAAGACGTAACAATAGAGGGATCCAACCAGCTAGTAAGCTGGGTCAGAACTGACGAAGAAGAGACCCCCTGTATACTGCGAGATGAAATCAATAAGGCTTTTTTTTATGGGACAAGCCCGCCACAACCTCGCAAAACCGCTGCAACTCCTGTAAGCCAGGATCTACAGTAGATACAACCATGAAAACACCGGAACATTGAAGTCCGGCGCGTCCCAGGGACATGAGTAACTGTCTTGGTTCCCGCAACGAAGTGAATCAGAAGATATTATAAGAGGAGAAGAAGAAAAAACTATAGTTTCCACTTCCCTCGGTGAATATTACTGCAGGAGACAGAATGAATTAAGCCTGAAGGCACAAAG